AAAGCAAGATATACAAGTTGGCCAGTAAGTTGATGTTTCAGGATTTGTCTGAAGTTTGACCTAAAAATGAGCACTATTTGCCTTTTATTTTTTCCTGAGATCACTTGAGAGCTTACAACCAAATTCTAGGGCATGTTAAATATATTAATTACCAGTTCTTTTTGTTTTTTATCTGATTTATGCTTAAACATACCATGGTTTTTTATTAACAGTCGAATAAATGGGAGCTCCATTTTAGTGGAAATATGTAATCTTAGAAATTAGAAAGTGGAGAGAATGCAGGAAAGTTAATAAAGTTACTTAGCTTTTAGAATGAAACTCCTTTTTGAAAAGTATTTTTTCTGAATATTGGCTACTTTGGGTTTGCACACCCACAACTACAGTCTCTTGATCAACTGCTTAAGGTCATGAAGAAAGGAGTAAATATTTAATAAAATGTTTAAAATATTTAAGTAAATATTTAAGGAACATGAATTTGTGTGAGGAACAGTAAGACTGCCATACTTTGGAAATTAATTAAACTTTGGCATAAAAGATAAAAGTTTAAAATTTGATTTTAAAACGTGTGTCAACCATGCTAACAGGTATTTTCCTTCTTTTTTTTTTTTTTTGCTCAGGGTCTCACTGCACAACTCAAACTCCAAGTGATCCCCATTTTCAGCCTCCCTAGTGCTGGGATTACAGGCGTGTGCCACCATGCCCAGACTCCATCACCTGCTCAGCGCGCCCAGGGACGGGGCTGGTGCCACATGTGGTGCCAGAGATCGAACCCTGCCCCTGTGCTTACCTAAGCAAGTGCTTAGCCCACTGAGCTATCTCAAGGGCCCTAACAGGAATCTTCTATGAAAAGAATTGAGGAACAGTAATTAGAAGCAAACAATGGTGTCTTGTTTCACTAGGAATTTGCATATTTTATCAACACTTATGTAATTTTTTAGAAAGTGCCTATTTTAAAGTGTGAGATTTCAGGTGTGGGTGGGTTCATATAGAACGGTTCTCTTTATTTAAATATCTGAAATTTAGTTCTTCTTTAGTCACCTTTTAGCCAGTGGAATACAGGCAATACATTTTGTTCCTCTTTCCCTAGAAATTAAGGTGTTTACCCTTTTATGGCCTCAGAGGGGCTTTTCAAATTAACTTCCATTTTTACAGCTCTCCTTCGTCTTGCATGTGTGAATTTACTATGCAGACTCTTACCAGTGATGAAACCAACTTTAGCAGCCTCACTGCTGAGCTGCTCTGCTTTGGAGAGTGTACAAAAAGTCTTTGCAATGCCGTTTAGACCTTTGTTTTAGCACGGGTGAAATTTTCTAGAAGAAGCTGAAATGTGAATAAGTGTGACAGGCTTTTGAACATAAAATGCTTTTATGGATTTCATTCAAAATCCAGAGCACTTTCAATTCCATCCACCTGACTGCAGCTTGTCTCCTGTGGGGTGGAGGGGGAAGTTGGTTTTTTTGGTAATAGTTTTCTTCATCTTTGAAGGTATCAGCTGAATCAGTGCACCAGGTAGAGCTAGCTATAAGTAACAGTACAATCCGAAAAACCTGGTGGGCAACGGTTTTAATTAATAAAGTGAATATTTTAGCAAAATGTCATGGGTTATAATTGCAAGAAATCATCTGGGTCTAAAGAATACCTACTGAGGGCAGCCCTATTAAAATTCATCCTGAGGTGGGAAAATTAATTTCCTGGACTCACAGAGCAGCAAGGGGAAGGTTTTCCTTCCTCCTAACTGGAGGGTTTAGGGTTTGGCCCTAAGACCCAAGGGCTATCCAGGCTGATCAACGTGTATATAATTAAAGTGTGCCAACCAGAAAGGGAAAGCCAGTTTTATTTGGCTCTGCACTACTGTGAAATAATTCTGTCTCCTTTATGTACTTAAAAAAAAAAAAAAGTCCGGCTTTCCCTGGACATCATCCTGCTGCCTTCTTTGGGATCATTGCTTCCTGTCGCAAGAGACACTGGAGTTCAGAAGCGTTATCCATTCAGCTAATTTCCTTTCTGTTCATAGCACCATTTCTAAGCCACATTTCACCACATGATAAGAAACACTGTAAAAAACTGAGGAGATCCATCAGGAGACCCATTCCTGAAAACTAAAAATTGCATAACTCAGTAAAAGTCAATTAAAAACCACAAACTTCGGAACCTTTTGCTCAGTGCAGATTTATTGTTATCTAAAACATCTAATACAACAGATTTTGGGGGCCGAAAATTCAAAAACTTTTAAAAATGCAGTTAAAGCTTCACAGCAAACTTGAGTAGGATTTATACAATATCAAAGTATGGTACTCGTTCAAAATGAAAAGTTACTTTTTTCTCTTCTTTTAACATGCGATGTCAGGAATCTTATAACCACATTATAAATAATATCCACTGTGCAGGATAATTATTTTCCGTTTTCCTTGTGGGGATTTAAAGGAACCTTAGTCTTTGGTTGTGCCTATGCGGTGAAACCCTACAAATTAAATGAGAGGAATCAGAAGATTTTGCTTTGTGAAACTAAATACTTAAATAACTAGAATAAAAGAAAATGTTCTTGTCATCTAGTTACTAGAATGTACTATCATAGACAAGTGTTTAATTTTTTAAAAAATAAACACTAACTTTGTTTCTTTAGAAACATAAAATGCTGCTTGAGTGGCCAAGGGGAAAATGTCAACTCTCTAAAACTAGTGTCTCTTTCAGTGATTTTTCACGCCTCAAATACAAATTTAACTAAGGAGCAACATTTATCTTCAAAAACCAAAAATATCTACTGGCTTGTTTTGAGGTTCAGAGCCCACCAGTGTAAGTTTTAAACTCTGCTCAAAGGCTTAGGTAGGGTTCAGCGGTCAGGCGTGACAAATGCACGTCCCGGCTAACAGTGCCCACGTGATATGCTTCCTACTGAAATTAAACTGCCAGATAAAAAGGAAGAATTGTGCCCTTTTTAATAACAAAGAATGCAGTCGTTAGAATTCTCCAGATTTGGAATTCCAGCAGTGTTCTAGTGTTTTCCTCTTGATATGTGACAAGAATGAAGAATATCTAAAATAAACACAAATCTCATTTAAATAAGCAGCGCTTCAACTTGTGAGGTTCAACATCAGATAGAACAAATTCTCAAAACCCAAGGCCAGTAAAATATCAGAGCTGAGAGGAAAATATGACGGAAGCAGGACAGATTTTAAATGTTTTGATGGATCTTAACCTAGTGCATTCATTCCGTTCATATCTGTTGAGACTTGCCACTTCAGCTGACTACTAGGGACTATGATATTTCATATTCAAATATTTGACTTTGACCTCATAAAAAGTCCCTTGGGTCTATAATACTTTTATTCTTGTATAATCTGAAACAAATCCTTTCCTCCTAAAAACCAAACAGAACACGTTACACACACAGCTGAGTATTTAGAAAGCACCCAATTAAATCCGACTTAATTCCCTTACTTTAAAAATTCCATCTAGCTGGTGTGTAGAGGACCCATCTCATTCACTGTATAATGCTCACAAACCCTGAGGGTCCTATCTAACCTAGCTAGTATTACCTTTCTTGAGAAGGGTCCTTAAAAAATGTTTTAAGGTTTTGAAGAAATGAGACCAGAAGTCACAGTACAAGACAGATAAATCTACTTTAATTCTCACATGTAAAAGTTACACATCACAAGAGATTGACAGTAGCTTAGCGGTAACTGACGTAGCTATAGTGAAAATCATTTTCATAAAAAAATAATCTAGATGCGGTCATCAGAATTTTTGGTCTACTTAATGTTTGAAGATCGACTTTCATCCCTGCTTGAAGGGTTCGCCATTATGCCTTCTTTTCTCCCACTGTTGCCTATTAATTAATATTCTTTGGAGGAAGGAAAGCAGAAAATGTTCATTTCCAAGAGTTTGTCCTTTGGTAGCAAGCAGAGAACATTTTTCATTTGTATGATTTAAATAATCTGTACAGATATGAAACTTTGTGACATTATGCTTTAGTGTAAACTGGAAGAGTGACAATTTTTTTCACTCTGATAAAACAGCAGATTTTGTAAACTCCTTAAGGATCCAAGCATTTGCCCCTTCTGTTTGCAAAGTCATTCAGAATCCATTTTGACCTCAGTTAAAAAACAAAACAAAAAACCCCAAACACTATATATTACACTATAAAACCCTGTACTTAAAAACTGATGATAAGGTATATTTTCAACAATTACACACTTCAAATACAGAGATTCCAATCTAGGTTAAAGAAAACACATTTGCGTGGACTCAAACAAGTTTATTTGTGATTAAACATCTCATGCTTTCAGGCAAGACCACTACCTACCACTGTTATTTCTAAGTTTAGGCTGGGCAAAACAAAAGCAAATTAAAAGCAAGGTCAAACAGAAAAGACATTCACGATATCAACAGCTCTGCAATTGAGCTGAAAAATCATTTTCCAAAAGAAATATTCCCAGAGATTAAAAAAAACACACACATAATATTTACAAAAAATATTTAATTAAAAATATCTTATAATTACAGTAGTCTATTAAAGCATATACTTTCTCACACTTATAGAACATCTCTCTATATATACATGGTATGAAACGTCACTCAGTTATCTATACAATATGTAACATTCTTGCAGAGAAAAGTTCCCCACCCCGTTATAATCATCTATTTTAAACAATAGATGTAAAAAAAATTATCTACAATGCTCTGGGGTATATTAGTAAAGCTTCAAAACAAAAATTGCGCTCCTCAGTCACAAAGTAGCCTTCTAAAGTCAGATTTACTCTTGATCTTCTATTTATCAGTCCTGTCACACTCAAGCTTGAAAGTTTAACTGCACCTCCAGAAAACACAGAAATGTACAATTCACAGCGGTTATAAATGAAGAGACAAAAGAGAATACGGACGTAGAAAGTATAAGAACATAAAAAAAAAAAAAAAAAAGAAAGAGAGTTGTTTTTTGTTTGTTTGTTTTTCCTCTCCCTCTCTCTTGGAATGATGAGTGAAAAGGTTTCTAGATTTTCTGATTTTTTTTCCTTTCCTCCGGTGGCTTTCCTCTACCGTCTGCTCTTCCCCCTCCCTCTCTAGAGCTCCTGGCTCGGGCTCAGGCGGCCGCACACCTGTGGAAGGGGAATGAATAGAGGGGGTGTGTGAACCTTCTCGCTGCAGACTAACTGGCGCCACCGATCAAACTCAAGACATGCTTGATCAACAACCCAAAACAAACCACCGGGTCAGACAACACCCGCAGCCCGCGCCCGCGCCAGGCACCCGGGAGGCCGAGGTGGCCGGGGAAGCAAGGCGAAGGGGCCCACTGTGCGTTCCCTTTGTGGGTGTCAGACTGTGCGAGGACAGAGCCGGGCAGCTCCCCGGGCCACCAGGCGCCATCCTACAGGGGCGCAAGGAGACAGGGCGCGACCCCCGCCCACCCAGTGAGGCACGGGCGAACGCTGCCCCTTCTCCCCCTAGTGCAGCGGAGTTCGAAAGCGAAGCCCGGGTTCACTCGCTCGCCGGGTGGCAGCGTGAAAGAAGGTGTCCACGAACTCGGGAGTTTACACTCAGAAATGCTGGGGGCAAAGAACGCGGCGGCGCTTGGCACCGGAAGCCCCCGGGGAGGGGCGCCTGGCGACCGCGAAACGCGCGCTCACCTGGACCGTGCGGCTCAGCGGCACAGAATGCTGTCGCCCTGCTTGTTCACCGCACCGGCCTGTAACAGCAACCAACGCGGGGGAGAGGTTAGCAAGCTCGGGAACCCGGAGGGAGCGCTGACGCCCCACCTCGTCAGCAGCCGGGGGCACGGCGGGGGGTACCCTCCGACAGCCAGGAGGCTGGGGGCGCACGGCCCGGGTCCCGCCCCACGCGCCCTCCACACCCCCGCGTGCCCACCGCCGGGAGGAGGGAAGGAGGGGCTGTCACTCTGGCCCGAGAGGAGGAAGGGAGCCCTCGGCCCGCCTCAGCCGCGCGGGACCTCTCACCGGGTCGGTGTTGAGCGCTGTGAGCGGGGTCCGCGGTGGCGCGGCCGGACAGGTCCCCGCCGGGAGGTGCGGAGGCGCGGGCGGAGGCGGCTGTCTGAGCAGAGCCGGGTGCGTCTCCAGCGCGAGCTGCAGGTCCAGGATGTAGTCGATAACGTGCTGCAGGATCTCCACTTTGCTGACTTTTTTGTTGGGCGGGATGGTGGGCACCAGCCTCCGCAGGCGGCTGTAGCAGTCGTTCATATCGCACTGCAGGCACAGCGCCGGCTCGTCGGCCGCCGCCTCGGCCGCCTTGCAGCGCGCTGCCGCGGCCGCCGCGGAGCCGCCCAGGTTGTGGCCGTGCTCGGCCAGGCAGCGCAGCGCCAGCTCCCCGCCGCCGCAGCCCGACGGCGCCTTGCGGCCCGAGGGGCGCACCGGGCTCACTGCCTTCATCGCGCGCGCTCTGCGCCCTGCGCGAGCGGATCCGCCGCGGCGAGCGAAGCGGGCAGGCACGCTCCGGCTCCTACCCGCGGCCGGCTGCACTCCCCCTGCCCGCGCGCTTGGGGTACCGCGGCGTTCCCGGCGACCGCGAGCTGCTCGCCCACTGACAGGAGGGTCGCCCGGGTTCTGCGGGAGGTCTCTGCTCAGTGGCCCACACCTGGCCCCAACCAAAAGGCAAAAATCAAAACCACCAGGGGTGGGAAAAGTGGCCCACCCAGGTCCCCGAGTCACTCCTTCAGGAGCGCAGACTCCGCGGGATCGCTGTAGCGCGCCCCTCTAGCCCGAGACCCGCCCGCTCCGTACCAGGTCCCCACCGCGCCTCCTCCACTCCGCGCTCGGCCGGCCGCGCAGCTATATTTATAGAGCCGCGCGCGGGGGCGGGGCCAGCGCGCGGGCCGGCTCTCCGCGCCTGCGGAGCCCTACAGCGGAGCGGGGCTGGGCGCGCGGGCGTGCGCGGAGGGAGGTGGCGAGGGCGGGGGCTCCGGGCGGTGCTGGGAGGCGGGAGCAGGGCCACCCGAGTGCAAGGATGGGCGGGGGTCGGGAGTGGCCAGCCAATCAGGAGGGCAGTGTTACCTCGGGGAACGCCGCTCAGACCAATGGGAAGGGCACCCCATTCCGTCAACGGCAGGGGTCGGAGCTCTGAGAAAGGAGAGCTGGGTGGGAGCCGGGCCAGGCTAGTGTGTGCCCTGGGGAAGGGAGAAGCGAGAAGTTCCTGCGGAGAACTGCGGGAATGCGCGCCGCGATTCTCTCCTCCGGCCTAGCTGCCGGGGGGCGCTGGGCCCTCCTCGCCGCTGCTGCCCCGCGCCTCTATCCCGACGCCCAGGACCCCGACTCGCTCCATGCCCGGATCTGCGCCTTAAAAATGACTGGCTGTTCCAGGAGGCGCGTTCCTTCTCCCATTTCCCCCTCGGCTTTATTATTAGCCTTTTCACAATTGCGGAAACCATAAGGATGGGATGGCATATGTAGTCTTTCCTCTTTCTTTCTTTCTTTCTTTCTTTCTTTCTTTCTTTCTTTCTTTCTTTCTTTCTTTCTTTCTCTTTCTTTCTTTCTTTCTTTCTTTCTTTCTCTCTCTCTTTCTCCTTCTTCTTCTTCTTCTTCTTCTTCTTCTTCTTCTTCTTCTTCTTCTTCTTCTTCTTCTTCTTCTTCTCGAAAGCTTAGAAAAAAAGAATGTAGAATCGAATGCAGTATTTTTTTTTTCTTTATGGTGAAGGGACATGTAAATAAACCAAAACCGTGGCAGGTTTTCCTTTTACGCATCTAGATGCAAAATTGGGCTGAAGAAATGGAATTGTACATAAATGACAGCAAGCAAAGATTTAAAAATGCATGGACACGGAGTATTTAAAATTCCACCATGACACATAATATTCATCTGTTCCATGTAAAATTCATACCTGTAACTTAATTTAAGACATTCAGGCACAGCTTCACGTCTTAGTCAGTGCACCCCGCTTTAAGTGAGGTGGTATTTAAATGAGAATCCCGTCTCCCGCTCCTGCAACAAAGCGTCTCTTAGATTTCTAACTGAAGAGCCGTCCTTCGGGGTTCATATAAAACTGCACAAGGAACTCTGGTGGGTCGTTTTGTGTACCCGTCAAGAAATAAGCGGGCCCTTTTAGATGAGAAATGAGCTTAAGAGCTCTCAGGCAACAGGGAAATGAAATTTCAGCGCTTATCCTGCTCGACCCTCCCACCTTTAGGCACCCTCGAAGAAGAATTCACGGCAGAATTCTCTTCTTTCAGTATATCACGTGGATTAGTGCTTTCGTTTCCATTGATAATTGAGCGAAAGAGACGTGGACCTCACTGCCTCAAGGGTTCCCTCTGTAGGGACTGCCTTTTCTCCTGCTCTGCCACAACTGAAATGCATGCGCCAGGCAGGCATCCTGTGTAGCCGAGTGGGTCGGATGATTGCACTAGTATCCCCTGAGCACATTCCTTTTTCCTGAGGAGACGAGGAGCAACATACCGCTGGTTTCACAGGCAGACGCAATAATATTCCTTCCCTTTAATCCTCACAGGTCACTGCCTTAATAATTATTTAGAAACAATTATTTAGAAAATACCAGTCCATTTTCTTGTTGCATACATGGTGTCCAGGCAAACTTATCAAGAAAATCAGAATTATAAAACCCCAAAGGTGGCTCTTCTTTTAAAGACAGGCTTAATTTTATGCATTTTGAGAGTAATATAAATGTACACAGGGAGAATAGTGTGAGTTTGGGTGGAAAGTTTGAGGTTCAAATCCCAGTGGGTTATCTTAGAGACAGTTTTGTCCCCAGAGATGATAATGATAAATGGATTTATGTACAGATGTTTAGTGCTATTGATTTTCTCTCATGTAAAGTCTAAAAACTGTTTCCAAAGGAGAAACTCAATGTTTTCCTCTTTTGTGAGATTTAACTATGTTAATATAACCAGGACAGATTCACGTTTCAAAATCTTATACGTCCTAACTTGCCTTGAAGGAAAATTTAATTTTTAAATACGTGACACAAATGTGCAACCATATCCATCCTTCTGGATTTTGTCAAAGCTTCCAAGAGCCACACCCTGGTGTGGGAAATGCCAAATGCCAAAGTTGTGTGGTGGGGGTGTGGTGGGGGTGTTCTCTCAGAGTGATTGGCTTAAAATTAGAAAGGTCAAGATACTATGGGGAGAGGGGGTCCAAAGGAATGCACCTCAGCCACCTGGTCATGGGCACCGAGGAAAAACTGTGATCTCCAAAATTCTGCCTACACAGTAGGTGGAAGTAGTTATCCTGTTCCTGGTTTTGAAAGTTGGAAGAGATTTAAAAATGTAAAGTGTTATACAAAATATCATACAGTGGGAATAAGGAATACGATCCTGTGGTTTCGGCTGCTGAAAGTAGAGCGTAGCAGCTGCTGTACAATGTATGTTTTTGTGTTCTTAGACATAGACGTTTATATGACGTCAAAGCTGAAGTCACAAAAGACTCCTGGCACTGATAGTTGAAAACAGAAATTTATTCCGCAGTGGCTAGATTTTGAATAAACCTTGCAAGCTACATTATTTCTACTGTGCAAAGAAAGAAATTTAGCTTGCGGGTGACTCTTGCTTTTACATCAGAGTGCTTTGTTCACATTTATAAAAATGAGACGGACTAGTCCAAAGCTTATTGCCATGGACGTGTTAGAGACGCTCGAAAATTACATCCAAGGGAAAGTGGGATGAAACACTCGTAGGAGAGTTGCTAGGAAGCCCTGGAGACCAGGGTCCTGTATCTTATGTGCCTCCAGACAAAGTGATCCGTGGCACCATCCCTGGCGGCACTCTAAATGCCCAGCAGACCCTTGCTGAGCCACAGCACTCTGGCTCTTAGATTTCACAATCGCCCTGTGTTTACATGGACCAAGGGTATCCAAGCATATTGTGCTATTCAGCCCAAATGCCTTTTTAGGACTTGATACTTCGTTTTCTAAAGCCTGCCAGGAAATAGTGGGTGGGCGTAGACACTCAGAAAAATATGTGTTTCCATGCCTTGGCTACTCTCTGAATGTGAGTGGTCACTGGAGGAGCCACATGAATTCTTTTAGGGCAGAAGAAACCAGTACGTGCTGCAGCGGCAACATCTTTTGCTCCAAAAGAACAAGTTGGGCAGTGTGGCAGTTCTAGCTCAAGGCTGCTTTATCAGGCAGCACGCATTACAAAATTACTTGTGTTACCTTTGGATTGCTGCTTCTGGTCCCCGGAACACTGATAACCTCTTGGTTTGCTCTGCCTTAGAAAAGGCATTATGGGAAGAGGATGTTACATATTGAACGTGACAAGGTAGATGGGCCATCAAAAGTGCTTAATTTGAGATTTAAAAAGAGAGTCTGTTTGAGAAGCAATTGACATTTCTTTCTTTATTATTTTTGGAACTAGGGATTGAATTCAGGACCTTGCACTTAGGCTTCTGAGCTATCTCTCCAGCCCTGCAACTGACCTTTAAAAGGGCCTTGTTTGTTAAGACAGATTTAAAAAAGAAAAAAGGAAGAAAGAATCAGCATTTGTTTTTACCTTAGGAGAGGGCATGGATCAAGAAGTCAAACAGCCTGGGCTTCAATTTTTGTTTCATTGCTTACTGCTTCTATATCATTACATTAGATTCTTAAATACCTGTGTGTTTTTTGTATTTGAAGTGAAAATAAAAATTCTATCTAATTTACAAGATGTTTATGCAATGTATACACACAGGCAAACATTACTATATCGTCTCATAGATCATTGTATGAATTCCTTAAGACAGTGTCTGGTATATAACAGCATTAAAGTTTATTGTCATTTTGGGGCAAATATTATTGTTCAATCACTGCCTTTCATTCACTTAATTTCTTCTTTTGAGACCTCGTTAATTTTATGCAGTCCAATCTATCAAATTGTGCTTTTATGGATCATGCTTTTGGTATTGTATTCACCTAAGAAATCCTGTGTAAGCCAACATAACAAAGATATTCTCCCATGTCTTCTTCCAGGAGTTTCATCCTTCTTAGGCAGGTTGTTTTTGTGGGCCAAATCTTCTGCATTTATATGCAGCGTGCTGCACACAGAAGGGCTCTGCACTAGGTGCTGTGCTCTTCTGCTGCCAGCATGAAATACTTAATAATTGTTGAAGAAGGGTATCTGCATTTCTATTTTCTATTAAATCCCATGAGTTATGTAGCTAGTCCTTGTTTTCTGTATGAGTTAGTCTATGATTTATTTTGAGGGTTTTGGTGTGCATATGATACCAGATATGATTGAAGTTAGTATTTTTTACATATTTTAATTCAATTATACCAGTAACCTTTGTTGAAAAGACTATTCTTTCTTCATGGGATTGCCTTTGCATTTTTGCCAAAAATTGGCTGTGTGCATTTGTAGTTTTCTTTCTCACCTCTGAGTTCTGTTTCCACTGCTCTGTGTGTTTTTATGCTGTGACCACACTGACTGAAGTATTATAGCTTTATAGTAAGTCTTGAGATCAGATAGTGTTGGATTACTGATCTAGTTTGGTTCTGCCTTTTGATTAGCCTGGGTATACTGCATTTCCGTATGAATTTTGTAAAGTTTCTTGAAGTTAAATATAGACATGTCATATGATCCATTCATTCTATGCCTAAGTATTTACTCAGGAGAAATAAGTATTTACTTTCTTTGAGGGCTGTGAAGGGCATGCAAATGACATGAGATGTATTTTTCACTGTGTATCCTATTGCTGTGGGTCACATATCAGAGTATTAACTGGATGGTAACAAGATACCGCCAAAGCAGGTACAATAAATATATTGATTTAATATGTCAGCATCATGGCTACCGATTATTATCTTACCC